TTTGGAAAATAGGGCTTGAAAAGGGAGGTAGTGAGGAAATCAGTTGAGGTGTCACTTAAGGAGATCTGGCAAGGGACATCATGTGAGGAGGCTGAGCAAACATCAGTGGTGAGTGTTCTCAGAGTGGCCAGTGCAAAATGTTCAGATGTCCTAGTGCTGGCCAGATTCTATCCTCTGCCTTATCTCTGCTACACTACACCCTGTCCTGTGTTTGCTGAGGGCAGTACTTATGCTGTGCTGTGCTTTTTGCTGCAAACTGTATGGCTGATTAAAACAAGTTGGGAGCTAGAAAAGGCATGCCCAAATTGAGCCTGACAATTAGGACCATAGGCATGTGCCGTAACTCTGTGTTTACCTTTTTTTCCTACCTATACTATTGAGGATTATATGGTCTACCACTGAGCTATATTCCCAGCTCCTTTAAATTTTACTTCAGGAGAGGATGTTATTAAGTTTCTCAGGATGTGCTCAAATGGCAATCTCTCTAAGCCTCCCAAGTTGCTGAGATTTCAGTTATGCACCACCACCTTGCTCTTTTTTTTTTTTTTTGACTGGGGATTGAACTCAGGTCCTTGCTCTTGCCAAGAAAGCACTTATTCCACTGAGCCATCTCCCCGCCCCCACCACCTTGCTCTTTTGTCTTTTTTAAATATAGGTGTTTATTTCAATAAATTTCCAAGCACTCTTTTAGCTGTATTTCCTCTTTGTTGTGTTTTTGCTTTCATTAATGTAAAAAATATATTCTGCTTTCCATTGTATTTTTTCTCCATTGACACTTTATTTAGGAATATGTTTAATTTTCATGTGCTCATAAGTTTTTTACTGATATACTCTAATTCTGGTGAAGAGTACACTTTGTATAATGTCAAAACTTTGCTTATTGAGTCTTCTTTTATGTCTGAGCATTTAGTTTATCCCGTGGAATATACAATTTATGCTTGAGAAGAAAGTATTCTGCTGTTGTTAAGTGGTGTGTTCTATAGAAGCTTTTTAGTTCTACTGGGTTAAGGTGTGAATTCAAGTCTTCTGTATCCTTGTTGATCTTCTGCCTAATTGTTTTCTCCATTTTTGAAAGTAGGGTATTAAAGTCTTCAACTATTGTTTTTTTCTCCCTTTTTTTCTCTTATATATGCTTGATGCATTTTGAGATTATGGTGTTAAGTCGATACATATGTTTATATACATATGTTTATATATTCCTGATGATTTTTTTTGTTGTTATAAATTATCCCTCTTTATTTCTAGTAACATTTTGGTTTTAATATTAATTTTGTCTTATGTTAGTGTATCAACTCCATTCTTAACATTTGTTGCTTGTATGTTTTATAATTTTTCATCCCTTTGCTTTCAACTGATTTGTATTTATTCTAAAATATATCATCTGTAGTAAGTGTACAGCTACATTTCAAGTTTATCTTTAAATCTAGCCTGCAGTTTCTTTTTTGATATGTTTAATAATTTAATGTTGCTATTAATATGATTGGACTTATACTTCCTGGCTTACTTTTTCTGTGTCTCATTTCTTTTCGTGATTCTTTTCTGTCTTTATTGCTTTTTGTTGCACTAAGTGAATATTTTCTCAAGTGATCATGTTTTGAATGACTGTCTAGTTCGTTTTTAGTTATGTTCTTTAGTAATGCTTCTAGGATTGTTAATACTTATTTTAACCTATCAGAATATACTATTGATTTATACTATATTTATTCTAATATGATATCTAAACTTTACTTTCATTTGTATCGTCCCCGTCCCGTGTGTGCCCCCCCATCTCTTTCTTCTCTTTCTCTTTCTCAAATGCTGGGGGAGGTGGATGGAGCTTGCTTTCTTTTTACTACGAGGTGGGGGAGTGGGGAGGGAAACTGTCTGCTAAGTCTCTGGTGGATTGCCTGCTTTTTAGACCATGAGCCACAAATAGCAGACTTTTCTTTGGCTCCTTTTCTCCCTCCTGTTCTATCCCTGTCCCTCTGTCCCTGTAGGCTTCATGATCCTCAAGGGTTCAGCCTGAAGTATATAAGAATTGAAAGTAAAGCCCAGAAAACTCACTGCCATGTTATTTTTCCTTTCTTGAGGTCCTTAGCTGACAGCTATCCATTTTCCACCTTTCAGAGTCTTTATGATTGTCTATTAGATTATTTCCAAGGAGGAGGAAGGAAGAGTGTGTTTGTGTTCTTTTGGAGTGGAGAATACATGGATTTTTGCATATTGGAAAAACCAAACTTTAAATGATACAATTATCTTTTAGCCTTTGGAAGAAATTATGAGATGATGGGTGTGGGTGTGAAAAGAGAGGTAAAGATCTTTCTCTGTATAGGCTCAAGGATCTCAGGGTACAGAATGTGCATCATTGTACTATACTGTGTGTGGAAAGTGGGGGCACCCCCTTTTTTTGAGTGTCACAAAAACTCTTAAAATATGTACCTCCATTACTAATAATAATGAACATTTATTACTTCCTTACTTTGCTAAATAAACATTTACTTATTAAAATATTTATATAGTATATAAATTATACTTTATCATTCTCAGTATTTGACTCATTATTATGGATATTATCCTATTTGATATTTGAACAAAATAAATCTTAGAGAAATTTAATGACTTTTCCAAAGTCCCCATCCATAATAAAATACTGGATTGTTTAAACCCAAGCAGATTTGCTTCATACCTATATTCCTTTTCTTTCTTTAAAATCACTTCCATTATATTTCAGGTGACTGATTTGTGGGAACCTGTTTCTGAGCTCCCTATTCTGTCCATTAGTTTACTTGTCTGTCCTAGTGCTAGTATTACTGTTTTAAGTATTACAAATTTCTACAGTTTCACTCAGTCTGGCCTAGAGATCCTCAGATGTGCACATACTTGGCATGTTTTTAAAAATATTTTAAAAATTTATTTTAAATTGAAAACATTTTTTCATTTCTGTATATATTCTTCAATAACTAAATCAAGCTGATTATCCCATTTATCACCTCACATTTTTTTTTATGGTTACAACACTTATAACTTTTTAAATAATTGCCACATTATACCACCTTCTGCCTTTCTTGAATCTAATTAATGGTGATATCTTCCTTTCTCCTCTGATTTCCAAGACCTACATTTTATACAAATTTAATATCCATGCACATACATTTTGTTTATACTTTTTTCCTTGTTTCCTCCACACCCTATGACTCCTGGAGAAGAGTCAAGGTTTTTTTTTTTTTTTTTTTTCACTTATTGGATACAGGGTCTCTCTCTGCAGTTCAAACTCATAGTGATCCTCCTGTCTTAGCCTCCCCAGTGCAGGGATTATAAGTGTACGCCATCACACCCAGCTGGCATGGCGTTGCAGTACCCATGCTCGAACTCGGGTCCTTGTGCTTGCCAGGCAGGCACTTACTTAGACCACTGAGCTATCTCTCCAGCCCTCAAGTATTCTTTATATCTGTTCCCATTCATTATATAAACAGTTCCTATAATCTCTGTACTCAACAGAGAAGATGGTAATTGTTTCTGTTTTTTATTTGCCATATGACTTTTAGAGGATAGAGCTGGGACTTTATTAATACTTTATTTTGTCTTGTTAAAATTTTTTCAGCCAATTTTATTTCCTTACACAGGTACTCAAAATTCTTATTCCTTCTCAGGTTACAATGCCATTACACATTTTCCTTTACTTTTAGTTTTTCTTTTTCCCATGCCCCTCTCCTTCCTCTTGTCTCTCCTCTCTCTTCTTTGTTTTCACCTTCCTTTCCCCTCTCCTCCTTTCTGTTCTCCCTCCCGTCTCTCCTTCCCCTTTCCTTTACCCCCAAATCTGTCATCCTTTTGCCTTAGCCTCCCAAGTCACTGGGACTACAGACATGAGCCACTCACATTAATTTTTCTTGCAGAGTTATTGATGACTCAATTCCTGTACTGTATAATTTGAGTGTCACAAAACTCTCAAAATAAAATTGGCTGAAAAAATTTTAACAAGACAAAGTATTAATAAAGTCCCAGCTGTATCCTCTGAAAGTCACATGGTAAATAAAAAAATCTACTTTTTGTAAGCTCACTGTTGGATTTAGAGAAGGGTAATCAGTTGTAGTGGAAGTAGTTAAGAGTTTAGAAATACAATCAAAGGAAGAAGGTATCAGATTTTTCATTTATTCTGCAACTGTAGAAAAATTAAGTATTTTTGCTACTCAGATTGATTTAGTTCAGTGAAACAGTGCCTGCCTGGCAAACATTCAAGTCCTGAGTTAGATTCCTGGCACCCTCACCCCCAAAAAGAAAGAAATTTGGTCTAAGTACTAGTAATATTGGATATCACTAGGAATCTTGTAAAATGGTAAATTTCAAGTCTCATTTCAGATGTGTTGAGTCAGAAACTGCAAGTTAACAAATTACCACACTGAGAAGTACTATTATATAGTTATCTTAGAAACTTAGTTTACCTGTGTGTAAGGTATTATATATGTATATATATATGCACAAACACATACATGCACACACACACATACATTATATAAGGAGAATTAGTCAAGCCTATTGCATGAATATCATATATCTGATCCATATTGCATTGCTCTCATGGGACTTAAGGACATGCGAAGCCCTTGAAAGTAAGGTGATGGTCCTTTGCTATACCATGGATAATCAAGCCTTTGTCTCTAAGGAAATTTTGTCTTCTGGTAGCATTCCCCAGAATTAGCTTGTAAGTAGGATGAAATCAGATCCCAGACTGCGTAACATTTTGCCTATTCCATTGAAAACTCTTTAAAAATGTAAATGTTAGGATCTGTATAATCCTGTAGTGGGTAGTAGATATATTGTTATTTTCTGCCATTCTGTTATTGATGATTTTCATTTGGGTTTGCTTTGTGATCATTTTCTTCATGTACATCGTCTCCTTTACATAGGACTTATTTCTAATCACTAAATGGCTCAAAGTGGTGAAGGTTCCCTTATTTTTTTAGTATGAAATGTGTTTTTAGTTGAAAAAAATATGTAATATTAACAGATACCTTTTTCTTTAGGAGACAACTCCAAAGAAGACAGAGTTGAAATTATTCAACCCAAGTTGTATTCAGGCATTACCACTTCTGGAGATTCAGATGTTGGATCCCATTTATCCTTGTCCTCTGAGGACTTGCCTCAGTTGGCTGTGAATTCTCAAAAAAATACTCCTGGGCAGCACACTGATACTCTTGGCCAAAAGGCCTTGCCAGACAGTTATCAGACTACAAGTCTGAAAGTCTCACATATTACTGAACTACCTCAGCAGAAGACTGGGTTACCAACAGAACCTGCTACCTACTACTCCTATGGTGAGAAGACCAACATTTTGTACCAAGAGAGCTTGCCAGATGGTCATCTAACAGATCAATCACAGAAAGTTTCAGCTGTCCTTGGACCTGCTGATCAGAAGACTGAGACAACAACAGTCCCCTCTTCTTCCTACTCATATAAAGAAAAGCCCAGTATCTTCTACCAGCAGGGATTGCCAGGTAGTTATCTAACTGAGGAGGCTGTAAAAGTTTCAGCTATTCCTGGAGCATCAGACCAGAAGACTGGCATATCAACTGTAAGCGTTACTTCCCACTCACATAGAGAGGAACCTGGTATTTTCTATCATCAAGAGTTGCCAGAGAACCACTCTACTGAAGAGACTCCACAAATTTCAGGTGTTCCTGGGCCACTTGACCAGAAGAGTAGGACACCACATACAACCTCTACTGCTTATTTACAAAGAAAGAAACCCAGTAGTTTGTATCAAGAAGGCTTATTAGATGGTCATCTGCCTGCACAGTCGCTGAAAGTTTCAGCTGTCGCTGGATCAGCTGACCAGAAGACAGGTACACAAGCTGTAACCTCTCTTCCCTACTCAGAAAAAGATACGCCTGATATTTTCTACCAACAGGCTTTACCAGACAATCATCTAACTGAAGAAACTCTGAAAGTTTCAGTGGCTCCCAAACCAGCTGAACAAAAGACTGGGATAACTACAGTATCCTCTACTTCCAACTCGTATGGAGAGAAGTCCCATACTTTGAATCTAGAGACCTTGCCAGGAAGTCCTGTAACAGATAAGAATCTGAAAGTTTTGGCTATTCCTGGTATTGCTGACCAGAAAGCAGGGATAGTTACTGTCTCCCCTTCCTCCAACTCACTTAGAGAGAATAGCATTGTTTACCAACAAGAGTTGCCACAGAGTTATCTAACTGAAGAGACTGTAAAAATTTCCACTGTTCCTGGACTTGATGACCTAAAGACTGGGAAACTAACAACACAATCTGATTTTTACTCACAGAGAGAAAAACCTGGTGTTTCCTACCAACAGACCTTGTCAGAGATTTATACAACTAAAGAGCCATTGAAAGCATCAGCATTTTATGGATTAGCTGACCAGAAAACTGGGATATCAGCAGTATCTTCTGTTTCTCACTCACATAGAGAAAAGCCCAGTATTTTCTATCAACAGGAGTTGCCAGGTAGTCATCCAACAGCAAAATCTCTGGAAGAATCTGTTGTCCTAGGACCAGCTGATCCAAAGACCAGGATACCAACAGTAACCTCTGTTCCTTATTCACTTAGAGAGAAGCCTATTTCCTACCATCAAGTCCCATCAGATAGTCATCTACCTGAAGAGACTCTCAAGGTTTCAGCCAGCTCTGGACAAGCTGCCCAGATATCTGATGTACCAACACTAACCTCTGCTTCCTACTCATATAAAGAGAAACCCAGCATTTTCTATCAATACAAGTTGCTTGACAGTAATCTAGAAAATGCTCTAAAAAATTCACCTGTCCCTGAATCAGCAGAACAGAAGACTGGGACACCAACAGTATCCTCTGCTTCCTACTCACAAATAGATAAACCTGGTGTTTTTTATAAGCAGGTCTTGCTAAAGAATCATCAAGCTGAAGACACTTTGAAAGTTTCATCAGTTCCTGGACCATATAACCAGAAAGGTGACCTATCAACTGTAACCTCTACTTCCACCTTGTATAGAAACGAACCTGGTATTTCTTCCCAACAGAAGTTACCAGAGAGTTATATACCTAGAGATTCTTTGAAAGTTTCAGCTTCTCCTAGACCAGTTGACCAGAAGACTGGGATACCAATAGGACCTCCAGATTTCTACTCACTTGCTGAGAAACCTGTTATTTTCTACCACCAAGTCTTACCAAGTAGTCATCTCTCTGAAGAGGCTCTGAAAGTTTTAGCTGCTTCTGGAGCAGCTGAACGGAAGACTGGGACACCAACAGTATCCTCTGCTTCCTACTCACAAATAGATAAGCCTGGTGTTTTTTATAAGCAGGTCTTACTAAAGAATCATCAAGCTGAAGATACTTTGAAAGTTTCATCAGCTCCTGGACCAGATAACCAGAAAGGTGACTTATCAACTGTAACCTCTACTTCTACCTTGTATAGAAACGAACCTAGTATTTCCTCCCAACAGAAGTTACCAGAGAGTTATATACCTAGAGATTCTTTGAAAGTTTCAGCTTCTCCTAGACCAGTTGACCAGAAGCCTGGGACACCAACAAGATCTTCAGACTTCTACTCACTTGGCGAGAAACCTGTTATTTTCTACCAACAGGTCTTACCAAGTAGTCATATTCCTGAAGAGGCTTTAAAAGTTTTAGCTGCTTCTGGGGCAGCTGAACAGAAGACTGGGACACCAACAAGATCTTCAGAGTCTTACTCACTTGGAGGGAAACCCATTATTTTTTATCAGCAGTCCTTGCCAGGTGCTCCTCAGTCTAAAGAGGTTTTAAAAGTTTTTGCTTCTCCTGGACCAGCTGACTTGAAGACTGAACAATCAACAATATCTCCCACTTTCTTTTCACTTGGAGAGAAACCCATCATTTTCTACCAGCAGACCTTGCCCGATAGTGAACTAACTAAAGGAGATGTGAAAATTTCAGTTGTTCCTAAATCAGCTGATCAGAAGACAGAGATCTCTTCTACTGTAACCTCTTCTTATTTAGACAGAGGGAAGAATATTATTTCTGACCAGCAGGAGTTGCCAGATAGTCACCTGACTAAAAAAGCTGAGAAAGTTTCATTTGTTTCTGGACCAGTTTACCAAAAAACTGGGATACCAACAGTATCCTCTCCTTCTTATTCATACCCTAGTGTTTATTATGAGGAAGTGTTTCCAGATCTTAATAAAGATGCTTCAAAAGTTTTAGGTGTTCTTGGACCTGCTGAAAAGAAAACTGGAATACATATAGTGTCTTCTACCCCTTACTCTAAAGAGACGCCTGTTATTTCTTACCATCAAGTGTTGTCGGGTCTTAATGAAGAAGCTTTGAAAGTTTTAGGTGTTCCTGGACCTTCTGACCAGAAGACTGAGATATACATAGTGCCTTCTCCAGCCTATTCACAGGGAGAGCAGTCTTTCATTTCTTACCAGCCTTACCAGGAACAGTCAGATCTGCCTGAAGTAGCTTCAAAAACAGGAGTGGTTTCTGGACCTGCGGGTCAGAAGCCCAAGATACAAACCGTTTCCTCTGCTTCCTATTCACATGGAGAGAAGCCCAGTGATTTTCATCAGCAAGAGTCGCTAAATATTGCTAAAGATGCTTTAGATGTTTTTGTTCTTTCTGGAACAGATGGCCAAACTTTTAAGGTACCAACAACACCTTTAAGTTTCTACTCATATAAAGAAAAGCCCAGTGTTTCCTCTCCGCAAGAATTGCCAGAGAGCTATCTTACTGAAGAAGCTCTGAAAATTTCAGCTGTTTCTCCAGCAGTAGAACAGAAGGCTGGGAAACCAGAAGGACCTTCAAGTTCCTCCTTCCATCAAGTGAAGCCCAGTGATATTTATCAACAGGCCTTCCCTGGTAGTGATCTAACTGAAGAGTCCCAGAAGGCTTCAGCTGTTCCCAGACTAACTGACCAGACAAATAAGGCACCTACCTTACCACCTACTTTCTATTCATATGAACAGAAACCCACAATTTCAACTGTAAGTACACTGGATGACCAGAAGGCTGAGTCACCAACAACTACTTATAGTTCCTACTTACAGAAAGAAAAGCCTAAGATTTCAACTGTGATTGGCTTAAGTGACCAGACAACTCCATCACTGACAGTTTTTCATAGTTTGTATTCTCAGAGAGTAAAACCTCAACAGCAGTTGCCAGAAAGACTTAAAAGTGGAGATACTTTGAACATTTCAAGTGTCCATGAACCAACTTACATAAATACTGAGATACCAGTATCTCCCTCTGCTTCTTACTTATACAGAGAAAAATCTAATACTTTCTATCCCCAGGAATTGCCAGACCGATACTTAACTGAAGATGCACTGAAAGTTTCAACAATCCCTGAGTCAGCTGATCAGAAGATAGTGTTGCCAACATCTCCTCCTCCTTTTTCATACAGTGAAAAACAAAATATTTTCTATCAAAAGGATGTACCAGGTGCACATCTAACTGAAGATGCTTTGAATATTTCAACTGGTCTTAGGCAAGCTGATCAAATTACAGAATTACCAATAGTTTCTCCTGGTAATTATTTGCCTGATGAGAAGCACAAACTTGTTTCAGAACACGTCCAAAGGCTAAAACATAATTTGGATTCCTCTGACTCCAGTGTTAGGCCAAACAATATACCTTTAAATTCTCAAGTTGATGATGGAGTTGTAACTAAACCAGAATCTTCAGGTTTTGTAGATACTGGCTTTGGGGAACTGCAAGGTACAGAAAATAGTTCCAAAACGCTTAAAGAAATTCGGACACTTTTAATGGAGGCAGAAAATATAGCACTAAAACGTTGCAACTTTTCTGCTCCCCTCGTTCCCTTTAGAGATGTTAATGATATTTCATTTATACAATCTAAGAAGGTGGTTTGCTTCAAGGAACCATCCACAATTGATATATCTAATGGTGATATTCTTCAGAGAGAGTCATTGACAGAGGAAAACCCAAACAGTAGGTACATACAGAAGGATATTGGCACACAGACAAGTTTGAAATGCCAGAGAGGCATTGAAAATTGGGAGTTTATTAGTTCAACTACAATTAGAAATCCTTTACAAGAAACAGAAAGCAAAGCCAGAGTGGCATTGGGTAAAACTCTTAGGCAATATGAAGTAGCCAAGTCTGTACTGCGGTCTGAATCTGAACGCTATAGTGGAATGATTGGGAATAAAATTATTATCCCTATGATGACTATCATAAAAAGTGAATCAAGTAGTGAAGCAAGTGATGGAAATGCTTCCTGCTCTTGGGACAGTAATTTGCCAGAATCTTTGGAATCAGTTTCAGATGTTCTTCTAAATTTCTTTCCATATGCTTCATCCAAGGCAAGCCTAACAGATAGTAGAGAGGAAGAAGGTGTGTCAGAGAGTGAGGATGGTGGTTGTAGTGTAGATTCACTGGGTGCACATGTGAGAAATCTTCTGCAGTGTGAATCCTCGTTGAATCATGCCAAGCAAATACTTAGAAATGCAGAAGAAGAGGAATACCGGGTACGAACACGAGGTAAGATCTGATCATTTGTCATATCATTGTGTTCAGGCTTATATATGTTATAGTTTAATAATTCGTTTACAGTTAGATGTTTGGAATTCATGTTCCTATAGAACCTGTTAGAATGATTATGTTTTTTTACCAGCAGTCAAGAAGACAGCTATTTAAGCAGTAATGTAGCTAAGGTAGAGTATTAATGGTGTGAGTGTGAAATTATAGTCTTTGAAGACGTATGTAGATTCTTATGTGTCACTGAGCTAATAAAGTAGTGTTGATTTTCAAGCTCCTAAAGCTTTCATGTTTCCCTAATCATCCCACTTCCCATTTTTTACTCTATAAAGAATTCTCTGGTTTTTTTAATTTAAAATAATCAGCTGTCATGAAAGTGGTCACAACTGTAGCAGAGCTAAAAGGTGATGCAGAAGGACCATACTGATTGGAGATTAGCATAAAATGATTTAATATATTTAAAATTGTTTCTTTGGGAAATACCTGTACAATACGATTTTTAAAAAAGTACTCCAGATCCCTGGCACTGCATACCGTGCTGGCCCAGCCCCTGGGCATGCTGAGCCAGTGATGGAGTCTAGGCGTGGTGGCACGATGGAGTCCAGGCCTGGTGGCACACGCCTGGAATCCCAGCATTAGGGAGGCAGAAATCAGGAGGATCACTATGAGTCTGAACTGCGTAGTGAGACTCTGTACCAAAACAAAAAACAAACAAACAAAAAAAGCCTTTAAAAAAAAAGTACTCCAGTAAAATGATCTCTCTTAAGATCTTTAATAGGCTATTGTATCACTGAGCACGTATTGAGTGTTGTGGTAGGGATTAAGTTGCGTATTGATGTATATGTCATTGGCAAGTTTTATGTTGTATCATCTCAGTGTTGGTATGATTTCTTTCCAGCCTGGAATCTGAAGTTTAATTTAGCTGATGACCATGGATACTCTATATCAGAATTAAATGAAGATGACAGAAGGAAAGTAGAAGAGATCAAGGCAAAGTTATTTGGTCATACTAGAGCACCTGACTTGTCTGAGGTATAAAAGAAATTTAGTAATGAAAACAGAAAATGTAAAAGGAAAGATGATGGAAATTGAATCCCTTACTTTGACATTGGTGATCACAGAAAGTTGCTGATAATCTTTGACAGAAGTGTTAGATGTTTTAAGCATCAAAAGTAAAGATTTAAGGATTAGAGTCTGTAAATTTTGATTAATTTCAAGTTCATCTATTGAGAAAAATTATCTTCTTAGAAGAGTAAGAATCAACTTGCTCATTTTATCAATATGTTGTAGAACAGAGGCTAAACTTCACAATTTTTTTTTCCCTTAAGATCAACCACTTGAAATGTAGATGAAGTCCAGCCAGCTTTAGATAGATATTTTCTACTTAACACCACAATTATAGGATTGGAGTTATAGCCTAGGGGTAGAGGGGTAGAGCCTTGGGTTTGCTCCACTGTACTGCATTGGAAGACAGTTATAATAGCTTATGTAAAAGTGACTTTAATAGACTTATTTTCCTTTTATTGTGAGCTATTTCATACATAGGCACACTTAAAAGAATGAAGAGAAGTTAAAATAATTCCTTTATCTCCAGTATTCAGTTTGAGGAATAAATATTGCCAAATACCATTGTTCTTTGTATCTCCTCCAGTCTCTTTTGGGGTGGAGTCAGGTATTGAACCTTTAGCATTATGCATGCTACGACTTCTATAGTTCTGCTATTTACAGTAGCTTCATCCTTACCCTTTGTCTATTTTGTTTTTATCCTGGCATGTGTAAGTTCTCTTCAATATGATTTTGAGCTTTATATAGATGGAATCAGTTTGTTAAATCAGTTTGTTAAATCTAAAATAGATTAAAACACTTATATGAGAAGAGAATTTATTTATTTATTTATTTATTTATTTATTTATTTATTTATTTTGTATTTAGTATGGAGTCTACAGGGTCTCACTACACAGTTCCTCCTGTTTTCAGGCACCCAAGGGCTGGGATTACAGGCATGCACCACCAAGACCAGTCTCAATCTTTTTGAAAATTGTTTTTTCATAATGTTACAATTTGTGTAGATTTATAGTTTTTGTTTATTTCTTATTATTGTACATACAGTATATTTGAGTGTCTGTTAATACTTATCTGAGTTTTTTTTTAATATAACCATAATGTTAGGATTAAAAAATTTCATCAGTCTTTGAACAGTTTCCCCATTTATTTATATCAGTATGGATTCCCAGTTTTTTCTGTTCTCAGAGAATCACAGTGTGTTATTGTCATTGTCTATTTTGATAATCAGATTTCAAATTAACATTGTTAAACTGGTTCCCATGTATTTTTCTCATGTCTCCATCATTGTTGGAGTGCTTGCTTATTTTCTGGTGTAGGAAGATACTCCAGGGATAGCTTCCTCAGACTTAGTTGGCCATCTCTCTAAGAGGCCCTGATTCCTTTCAGCAGAAGTGATATTTAAATACCAAAATTTGTAAGCTTGATTGCTGATTGAATTGTGATACTGTTTTCTCTTTGCCCTTTCAGCAGTATATATAGATATAAACACATGCACACACACACCCTGTTAGATTTCAGTTTCCTTACCATTGGCTTTAAATTTGTGAGAATTGTGAGTTTATACCAGTATGTCCAATTCCATTCTAGTAGTGTAGTGTTAACTCTGTCCTTTTCCTTTGTTTGTAACTTCTTCCCCAATTTTGAGAAACCTAGTGCCCATGATCCTATGTATTACTTTATGTAAAAGTAGCTAAAATAAAAGAAAAATACTACTGGCAAAGCTGTGAAGCAAATGGAACTATGATACTGCTTTTGGGAAAGTAAATTTGGTGTAGTATTCTTAAAAATGAATTGAAAATTGCTTCATAAAAATAAATATGCCTACCCTTGGACATGTCCGTCCTGTAGTTTTTAAGTGTTTATCAAGGTATTAATTAGTACATATGTTTAAAAAAAGACATGAACAGAAATAATTGTTGTAGCCAACATCTAAAAACAGCATAAATGTCTATGAAGAGTAAAATACAGGAATCAAATAAGCTTTGTTTATAAAGTAGATAGCAGTAAACAATAAATTAATATCTGCAGCACTGAAAGGTCTCACACAAAATTATATTTAGCAAAAGTGCCAAACACAAACAAATAATTCTGAGTAGTTTTATTTTCTTCAAAAATTATTCAGCCTTGAATGTTTTATTGTAGTCAACAGAAAATAGATTAAAACACTTATATGAGAAGAGAATTTATTTATTTATTTATTTTGTATTTAGTATGGAGTCTACAGGGTCTCACTACACAGTTCCTCCTGTTTTCAGGCACCCAAGGGCTGGGATTACAGGCATGCACCACCAAGACCAGTCTCAATCACTGTCTCAATGTGCCCGGGGGCAGGCCCAGCACTGCATGCTGGGGATCAAACCCCGTCCCTGCGTCTGCTTGAGCAGGCACTTTAATTTTATGCCCTTCTAAATTCAATACCACGTGAAAAACAGACAATACTTGACCCTACCAGAAGTAACCATTATTACTTCTCCACCATTGATTAGTTTGTTTTTGAATTTTATATAAACTGTAATGCAACAACCACTACCATCACTTATCTCCAAGACTTGTTGTCTTTCAAAACCTTGTTAATCAAAGACTTGAGTTTTAAGAAAAGTTTTAATTCTGAATAGTTTTAAGAAAAGTCTTAATTGCTGAATAATTCTGAGGTTTTGTGTTGTGGACATTGCTGCTGTGAACATGATTGTATAAACATCTCTTTGAAGGCTAAATAAAACTTTAAAACTTCTGTACATAAGAATACAGTGAAATGGAACTACCCGCTCAGGCCCCCCCTCCTGTCCATCTCTTGGACAGGAGCTTTCTTTTTCTCAATAAATATATTCTGCTAAAAAAAAAAATACAGTGAAAAAGGGAGAAAACATTTACAAATCATGTTTCTAATAGGTTAATATCCAAAATACATGAAGAACATCTACAACTTAACCACTCTCCTCCAAAAAACCAACAGCACCCAATTCAAAAAACAACCACCAATGCAATACAAAAATGGGCAGAAAACTAACAGGCATTTCTCTAAAGAACTTCTATGCATCAGAAAATATGGTGAAAAGACAGCTTATGAACCAGGAAAGACTGCTTTCTTTTTTACCTACACCTAGAGGTATAGTTAAGTATAATTATTAAATGATCATTCTCTGGAAGATTTTGAAGAAGTTCTATATTGTTTTCTGTAGAGGCTACACTGTTTTTCTTTCTTTTTTTAGCAGAAATGGGGATTGAACTCAGGCCCTTGCGCTTGCCGGGCAAGTGCTTATTCTACTGAGTTATCTTCCTGGCCCAACACTTTTTCTTGAAAGTACTTGTTAGGTCCTGTTTTTTTTATTTTTTAAATAATGGTTATCCTACTAAATCAGAGGTAATACCTCAGTGTGATACTGATTTTCATTTCTCTTGTTAGTGATACTGAGCTGCTTTTTAGGTATTGTTCTGTTGTACTTTTTTTTTTTTTTTTTTTTTTTTTTTTTTTTTTAGGGAAGGATCTATAGGGTGTTCAGGGTCTCACTACTAGATTGGATTCAGTAATCTGCCTGTTTACAGCCTCCCAAGAGCTGGGATTACAGGCATGCTCCATGCCCAGTCTCATTTTTTTTTTTTTGTGTGTGTGTATTTATTTATATGTACTTTAGGGAAGGGTCTAAAGGGTGTTCCGGGTCTCACTACTAGATCGGACTCGTAGTGATTTGCCTATTTACAGCCTCCCCAGAGCTGGGATTACAGACGCGCTCCACCATGCCCAGTCTCAGTTGCTGCAGCGCACCCCGGGGGCGGGGCCAGCACGGCAGGCTCAGGGATTGAACCCTGGGCCCTGTGCCTGCTTACAGGCACTTTAATCCGCTGAGCTATTTGGCAGGCCCTTGTGCGTTTTATTTAATAGTTTACATTGCACATTTGTTTCGAAGGTATATAAGACTCACTTTACCCGAAGCAAACAAATCCGATTTAGGAATGTTCTCTCATTCGTAAATTGAAGACTTGCTGTAGTAAGTTTAGTAGCTGTCTTTTTTTTTTTTTCAAAGTTTTATTGATAAACAGATAGCAATGAGACAGTTTCAAATCAAATCGGAAGTACAGTTTCAACAAATAATACACTGCATATATTCTTCTTAGTGGTTAATTGCTGTACAAGAAGTGGACTTGTGATCCTGTTTACAAACACCATTAGAACAAATCATTCTATTCATTAAGAGAATGCAACTATATATCTATCCTAACCACTTTGAATACACAGATACAAAATGGACATTCATTGGTATACCCCATTTTTTCTAAGTTCCGTTATTAAATATTATAGGTGTGTAAACTCAGCAAAATATTCTAAAAGAGTGCAGTAGCCCATAATAGCATTGGGTCTTCTGTTTAACTGGCAATGTCAGAAATTATTGACCTGAGTCCCCCACAGCTCAACATAACAACATGGCTTTATTTCCTATATTTCGTCTTCATACTTTTCTACTGAATGGTTAAGACCAAGGTAAAGCAGGACTTATGCAACAAGAGTTGTAGCTTTTTGGTCTGAGAAGGTCAGTGAAATGCCCTCAGGATTTATCCTGAGATCCTGTACCTCAGATTGTAGAACCTTTGTCAGTGCAGCCATGTGGATGAGTCACAGCCATTGCTTGGCCAATGTGCTCTCTGTGAAAGCCTGAGAGAGTGTCTTCTCCCCATGTGACTCTCCTTAGGCACACTCTACATCATCGATCACTTTCCTCTTTGGCCCCATAATCTTCTTGATCAGAAAATTTGGGACACTACCGAGGTATATGACGTTACAGTACAAGTTCTCGTATGTCCTGAGTCTTAATTGACCTTAGAAGGTTAGGGCCAAAATGTTGGCATTCCTTGTAGCCCTCCTTTTTCTCTAATTTTGGTCTGCAAACTTAGGTTGTTAACCATCCAGAAGACAAGTTTATTGTTATTATCAAACGATTTAGGCTATTAAGCTTAACCTCACTATCTCACTGCATTTCAAACATCTTAGGCATAATAAGGAGCAGGTATTTTTCATCAAGTATTGATATGTTGAACTTTAAGTCCCTGAATAATATGATAAAAACATTTTAAAAATTACATTATATTTTAAAAATAGGATAAAGAATTACATACTTCTCATGTTTGCACATAAGTCCAAAAATCTCACCATATACAACCTTGAAGCAGGACAGTCCCACATTCCTTTTCCTGTCTCTTGCTTTCATTCGCCACCCCCTTCTTCTTGAACAGCCACCTACCCGAGAGACATCATAGCAGTAAATGGCATGTCATGACAAGTCGCCCATATTCAGACTACCAGAATGACAGGCACTCCAAACATGAAACTACTGTTACAAATTACCATCTGCAGTGCAGTAGCTTAGTTCACAGGTATCAGTATATATAGTTAGTCAGGGTGAGAATCTTTCCAATTAACTGCTAGATTAAAAAATCTTCTGAAGATTCTCAGGATCATTGCCTTGCTCATCTTTTACATATAACTGTATGGCTTGACATTGTCATGTTTCCTAGCTCTTCTCCTTTCTCTCTCTTGATTAGTTAGTCCTTGAGATCCTGCTTTCCTTTTACTTGTATTATATCTTTCTATTTGTATTTCTTCTTTGGCCCAGTCTCATTTGCCATCTCAGTGCACCACGGGGATGGGGCTGGCATGGCAGGCTTGGGGATTGAAGCCCCTGCCCCTGCACCGGCTAGCATGCACTTTAATCTGCTGAGCTATTTGGCCAGCCCTTGTACATTTTCTTTTCTTTTTTTTTGTTGGGGGGAGGTTCTGGGTATTGAACTCAGTACCTTCTGCTTGCCAAACAGGCATTGTGTCACTGAGCTATATCACCATCTCCTGTTGTACATATTCTTTAGAGAAATGCCTTTTGAAGCGTCTATTTTTGAATTGTGTTGGTTGTTTTTTTGAATTGTGTTGTGTTTGTTTGCTGTGTTTGTTCTAATAGAAATAATGATTTGCAAATATTTTCTCCCTTTTTAAAGGTTGTCTTTTCACTCTTCTTTGATGTACAGAAGTTTGAAAGTTTTATTTAGTCCAGTTTACCTATTTTCATTTTTGTTTTCTGTCTCTGTTGAGGTTATTTTTATGTGTTGAATTTATATAATTATTGAATTATTTCAGTATTGTATATTGTAAAGATTATTCTTTCCTCATTTTTTGACCTCTTTATAGAAGATTCATGCCACTAAATGTTAGTGTATATATCTGGACTGTCCTATTGATTAGCTTTTTAAGATTACACATGAGAGAGAGGGTATCCCTATGATTTACATTACTCTAATAAAATATTATATGCTAAGTACTTTATACGGAAAAGAGGCTTATGTAGCTCTGAGTTTTGGAGGCTTAAAGTCCAACAGAGGAGCATGGTGCTCCTCTGGTGAGGATCCCTTCGCTATATTACCTCGTGGTGAATGGATTACAGTGGCAGTAGCACATGGAAGAATGAATGTTCACGTATTAAGATGGGAAGCTCTGAAGGACTTTTTAAAATGTAGCAGTTGCTCAGAGATAACTAATTCAGAGGCTCACAAGAATTACCTTAAGCTGCACATGATGATGTGGTTCTAATCCCAGCATTCTGAGATGCTGAAACAGGAAGACTGGAAATTTGAGCACCTCCCAGCCCCTAATGAGACCCTGTCTTAAAATTAAAAAATGAAAAAATAGGATAGGGTATAGCTCAACCCCCAGTACTACAACAAAAACCAGGGGGGGGGGGGAATGTGATAATAGTTCAGTGCAAAAGCCATGGGTTCAATTTCAAGTACCACAAATGAAAATAAAAATGAAACAAACCAAAAAGCAAAGAATATGGAGATCATATGTGCCCTTCACTCATTTTCTTCCAATGATAACATTTTGGAGAAGTGTAGTGATATGCCATGGCAATGATACTGACACTGATAGAGTCCGTATACTGAACATTTACTTTACAGTGCCACAAGATAAGGTACACTGACTGGGTTGTTGGAATAGAATAATAAAAGTCTAAAAGTTTTATGTTTGGCTCAGCTGTCATTTTTTTTTTTTTAAGCTAGTGAGAGCAAGTTTCTGTTAGGCGTTGGTTTGTGTCTATTGTTCCTGGGTTTCTGACTTCTTCAACTACAAATCTGGACATACAAGACAAAAAGAAAATCTAGGAATCTCACCACCATATCTTTCCACAAATTTTAAGATCCCCAGCCAATTTGCCTTCTTCTCTACATCTTTCAGATTTTTCAGAAGAATGTGTTTCACATACAGTGTTTGGAAGATTTAATTTTACTTAGCAAGAGAAATAGGGAAAATCTACTCCATCATCTGGAAGAAGGCATTATAATTGAAATATTTTATATAACAGAATGTACTATGTCATAAAATAGAATGCCAAATTATAACATCTTTATGGGTAAAACACAAAAGCCTCAAAAGGCTATGTTTTTGGCAGCTTTGCACATTGATTTTATGTCCCAGGAAAAGATACCAACTAATTCTTCTTTTTGTTGTTGTTCAGAGGAGTAAAACAGTAGGGCTGTGAGTCAAACCCTTATACTAGAGAGTCAAAAGTAACCAAATTAGTTTGAATGGCTCAAATAAAGTAGAATCAGTTTTTCCCTTGTAAGAGCTGAAGGTAGGAAAGTTAACTCTGTCCTTGAAGTTATCCAAAGACCCAAACTGGCTGGGCAGTTGAGCTATCACAGGCATGATGTGCACCATTTTAGTGCAGCAAGAGTAATCATTATAATAGCAGTGGTGGTAGTCATGGAAACAGAAGTCGGAAAATGAATTTTAAGGACAAACAAGTTGCATCTAACACTTTTGCTCATATACCATGCTGCTAAACACAGTTATCTGATCAAAGTTAGCAAGAAAAACGAGAAATGTCTTCAGGTTGGTGGCTTTATGGTCTGCCAGAGTTTTAGTGAGGTACTTATTTTACTAAAAAGAAGATAATACTTATTGGGGAATGGTAGTAGTCTTTGTTGTAATATAGTGGAAAAATTTTAGGAGAATTCTTCTGAGTGGTCTCATCGTGAACCATTTTGTTCTGTGATTATTTTTTGCTATCTGCTTTGACTTGCTTCATTTATAAAAGAATGATATGATCTTCATGGTCAGTTATTAGTCTGGATAGAAAATTCATTAGCATAATGTAAAGCTATTTTGATACTTCAAGTAAGAACTCATTTATGTCTTTTAGGGTTTACAGAGTCCCCGGGGAATAGGATGCACACCTGAACCTGTATGTGGTCACATTATTATTGAGAGCCATGAAAAAGGATGTTTCAGGACTCTGGCCGCTGAACAGCCACAATTGGACAGCCCCTCTTGTGGCTTTAGATCTGCTGAACCCTTGGAAGTGAACAGAGGACGACGGTGTCCCTCACCATGGAGATCCAGGCACATCAATTTCTCTAAATCACTAGACCAGAACAACTCCCATTTCAAAGTTTGGAATTCCTTGCAGTTACAAAGTCATTCCCAGTTTCATAACAACATCAGCAAAGGTTTTCGAATGCCATCCCATGAACCTACTTGTGTGGATTTTCATTCTTCAACAAAAATATCTACCCCTGAGCCCATGAGACAGTTTACTACCTCCATCACATTTTCATCTCACCGACATTCTAAATGCATTTCAGACTCCTCTGTTTTTAAGGTTGGTGTTACTGAAAGTAGTCAAGGTACTGGAACATCTGTGGGGGTATTTAATTCTAATGTCACTGAAGAGCAAATTCCTCCTAGAGATCTTAAACGGAAAACCTCCTCCCCTTCATCACTTAAAACACTTAAGCACTCACCAGATAAAGATGTGATTATTGCCCCAGAAGGTAATAGGCAAAGTGAAAAGACACCTGTTAATTTTGAGCATTCTTATCAAGAAGAAAAACTGTTAGAAAGGTCAGATTTTAAAGTCAGTCCTTCTAAGCCTAGTAACGGTGCAAATTGTAGCAGTTTCAAGGAAGTTCAATTTTCTGATACCCCTACCCTCATTAGCATGAGCAGACCAAATTCCACATTAGGAATAAAAGACAAGAGTATAACTCCAGATCTTCCTTCACTCGTTTGTCATGAAAGAGAACTTTTTGAACAAAGCAAAGACCCACATGCAGATCACTATGTGAGAAAACACCATTCTCCCCCTTGTCCAGATGTTCCTTCTTGCATTTTTCTTGAACAACGAGAACTCTTTGAACAGAGTAAATCCACACATATAGATCATGAGATGAGAGAAAACCATCCTTCCTATCCCCATTGTCAGGATTATATAGCTTCAGATCTTCCTCCTTCCATTTTTCTTGAACAGCATCAAAGCAAAGCCCCAGATGTAGATGAGCACATGAAGAAAGACCATTTTCTACTATCTCAAGGTCAGGACTGTGTAGTAGAAAAGAACAAACATACACCTAAATCACACATTTCTAATATAAATGTTGAAGCTAAATTCAGTAATGTGACCTCCCAGTCACCTCCTGATCATTATACATTAGCAACATCTGCATCTGCTCCACCTTCAAATAGAAAAGCACTTTCCTGTGTTCGTATCACTCTTGGTCCCAAGACTCCTTCCAAGTTGGATAGTGGAACCTTAGATAAAAGATTTTATTCATTGGATCCTACTTCTAAAACAAGGATGAATAGTGAGTTTCACTCTGACCTACAAACTGTATCTTCGAGATCATTGGGACCAACCTCCAAATTATTGACCAGTAAACCTGTAACACAGAATCAAGAATCTTTAGGTTTTCTAGGACCTAAATCTCCACTGGACGTCCAAGTTGTACAGTCTCCTCTTCCAGATAGTAATATTATTGCTCAGGACTTGAACACTGTACCTTCTCAGAATAGCCAGATAACAACCTCAAGGCAAATACAAGTGAACATTTCAGATTTGGAAGGATATTCCAAACCAGAAGGGACTCCGGTATCTGCAGATCGGTGAGTCTCATTGTGTTAACAGTGAAGCTGATGAAACTTATGATAAAGTGTTTAAAATACTTAAGCAAATGTTCTTGGGAAAAGACCGTATGACTTAAGGGAGGTTGTATCTGACTAATCTGCTAGAAGTCTTTCAAGAAGTATGTAAATAAAAATATGTGAATGTAATATACTTTCAAAGAACCTTTGGCAAGATTACATCAAATGTTATAAGAAATTGAATTACTTTGAAAGGAATCATTGATTATTCAGTGGTATGATTAATTATTTTTGTGTTGAATATACACTGTCTCCTTTGGGAGGTTGCATTTGTGTCTGTCTCACCACCTTCCTCTTTAATTCCCCTTTCACGTCCCTCAAATACTAGTATTTACAAAGAAAAATGTAACTTTGCAATGGAGAATCCTGGCAGATAACTATTTTACCCAGAGGATTAAGGTTATCATCACCAATAATGCACATCAACTCACACTGATGTGTTTGATGCTTCCATTCATGTTGTACTATAGAAAAGGAAACCCAATTCAGGGACATGTGAAAGATAATTAATGTATTAGTTACTTTTTTGTTGCTGAGAAAAAAAAAAAAAACAAAACACCTGATACACTGAAAATGAAGAGAGGAAATGTTTATTTTGGTTCACACTATCAGAGTTCTGTCCAGGGTTGACTGGCTCTAAGGAAGAAACAGAATAACAAAATGGCATGCCAGGAAGGTTGCTCATAGTAGCCAAGAAACAGAAAGAAAAAAAAAAAAAAGGAACGTTTGGGGAAAAGAATGCACTCCTCCAGATTGTACCCTAGTGGCCCATCCTCAACAAAACCCCACCTCTGAATATATGACTTTTAGGCAACATTTTAGATCCAAACCAAAATTAGACTTTTTAAAAAAATTACATAAATATTCCTCAACAAACTTTCACTTTATTATTTGTTTGTATCTGTCCAGAGTTATGCTTGCTTTTTTTTTTTCCCCCCAGTGGCTTATGATTATATTGCTCAACTTTCATAGCCAGGACAAAGGGGAAGGTTTATTTTGGTCCATGATTTCAGAGGTTTAAGACCATGGTTTACTCACTTCAAGGCAGGAGGACATGGGAGGGGAAAGCTGTTTGAGTCATGGTAGCCAAGGAGGCAGAGTGTGTTGGAAAGCTGGAGAAGGGCCATGCCCACTATGAGCCATTTCCTCATACTAGATTCTGTGTATCAGAGGAAACATGCAATCATGTCTTTCTGAGTCTGGGTTTATTGCTTATAATTTCATTCTTTACAGCTAAAAAGTATACCATTGTATATAAACACGTTTTCATTTGTTGATGGACACGTAAGCTTGTTCATTTATGTTGACAGTTGTGGACTGTATTGTAATAAGTGGGTGTGTAAATATCCATAGAAAGTATTGTCTTCTAGTTCTTCAGTGATATATCAAGGAGAACTATAGCTGAGTTAATGTGGTCAGTCGGTCTTTCTTTCCTTCTTTTCTTTATTTCTTTCAAACTTCCAGGGATGTACATGGTGACTATACTAATTTGCATTCCCAGCATTAGTATGGAAGGATTCATTTTTCCCTGCATCTTCACCAGCATTTATTCTTTTTGATTCCTGATGATAGTCATTCTGAATGGAGCGAAGTGAAATATCAGTAGTTTTGATTTGCATTTCCCTGGTGGCTAAAGATTTTGAATATTTATTTATATGTTTAACAGCCTTTTTTTTTTTTTTTAATGTATTTGGTTGTTTCAGGGTCTTTACGCAGCTCAGACTCATACTGATCCTTCTCTTTTCAGCCTCCCCAGCTCTGGGATTGCAGGCATGTGCCACTAGCCCTGGACTCTGGCTGGCTCAGCCCACCCTTGGGGCGGGGCTGGCACACATGCCAGATTATGGAACCATGGTTCCTGTGCTTGCCTAAGCTCACCCAAGCAGGCGCTTTAGTCAGCTGAGCTATCATGCTGGTCCCCATTTGTATTTGTTTTGAGAAATGTCTAATTCATTTGCTCATTTGTCAGTTGGGCTGTTTGTTTTTTGGGTGTTAAATTTATTTTTAGTTCTTTATGCATTCTAAATATTACATTGTTGGACTTGTATTTGGTGAAGAATTTCTTTCATTTTAAAATCTGTATATTTACTCTGTTGTTTTTCTTGCAGTGCAAAAACTTTTTATTTTAATGTCACCTTATTTGTTGGTTTTTGGTAATATTTCCTGGGCTACTTGGATTCCTATTAGGAAATCTTTGCCTATGCTTATGACTTAAAGTATTTCCCCTGTGTTTTAGCATTTTTAGTTTTATGTCTTATGTCTACATCTATCACTCACTTTGAGTTATTATTGTACAGGGTGAGAAATAGGGATCCAGTTTCATTTGTTTACAAGTGGATATCCAGTTTGCTGAGCAGCATTTGTTAAAGAAGTATTACTATTATTATTATTATTACCATGGATTGAACTGCGAGGCAGGTGTTTATGCTGCTGAGCAATCTCACTGGCCCAAAAGAGAAAATTTTAATCCCAGCACTTGGGAGGCTGAGGCAGGAGGCTTGCCAAGAGTTTGAAGTCTACTTGGGCTACATAGAGAGAAACTGTCTCAAAAAACCAAGCACCACACCCCTCCCCGCAAAGTGGTTGTCTTTTCTCCAACATAGGCTTTTGACCTTTTGTGAAAAGTCATATGGCTAGAGTTGCATCTTATTTTTTCAATGTATCCTCTATTCTACTGCTCTACATGTCTATTTTTGCACTGGTATCATGTTATTTTTCTTACTATGGCTTTGTAGTATAATTTGAAATCAGGCTTTGTGATTCGTCCATCCTTTCTCTTTTCCCTTTGGATTACTTTACCCTGCATCTTTCATGTTTCTACATGAATTATAGCATTTTTTTCTAGCTTTATGAAGAATGCTATTAATATTTTGATGGGGATTTCATTACATCTGTAGATTGCCTGTGCTTATGGCTAATTTAAACAATATAATTCTGAAAAAAAAAAAACCCTATAATTCTGATAGTCTGTTTTGTATATGGGAGGTCTTTCCACTTTGTAGTGTGATCTTCAATTTCTGCAGTGTGCCAAAATTTTCACTGTAGAGATTTCACTTCCTTGGTTAGGTTGATCCTTAGGTATTTTGTTTTTTGAAGCTATGTTGAATAGATTTATCTTCAGTTTTATTTGCAGCTAGTTTATTATTGGTGTGTAGAAAAGCTATTTTTGTTGTTGCTTTTTGAGACAAGGTCTTGCCATATAGATCAGGGTGGTCTTGAACTTTTTTTTAAAATTTTTTTTCTTTTTTTTTGTCAGAGGTGAATATTCTATTGGCATCTAAATACTATAAGTGTTTGAATTCAGCTAAACAATCTAACACTGTCTAGCAGTCTATAATATTAGTGGGTTATCCTCAGAAGTTATTGACTTAAGCCTTTTACAGCTCATCATATTAACATGGATTTACTTTATATACCTCATTTTTATACTTTTCTGCTGGATGGTTAAGACCAAGATATAGCAAGACATATATAACAAGAAATGTAACTTTTGTATCTGATAAGGTCAGCCAAGTACTCTCAGGATTTATCCTGTAGCCCTGTACCGCCCTTTGTACATCCTTTTGTCAGCGTCTGACATGAGGATGAGTCACGGCCATTGCTTGACCAACTTGCTCTCTGTGAAAGCCTGAGAAAATGTTTTTTCTCTCCATGTGACTCTCTCCAGGCTCACTTTAGATCATCGAACACATTCCTCTGTGGCTCTATAATCTTCTTGATCAGAAAATTTGGAGCACAACTGAGTTCCATGTTGTTACAGTACAAATTCTCCTATGTCCCGAGTCTTCACTGATCTTGAATGACCTTAAACTTGTGGTGGTCCTCTTAAACTCTTAAGTGCTGGTTGTACATGTGTATGCCATTCTGCCTGGAAACTATTGATTTTTTTAAACAATGGTTTTGTGTCCTGGCACTTTGCTGCATTTATTCATCAGCTCTAAAATTCTTTTGGCAGGTCTCTAAGATCTTTCTTTTAGGTAGAGGATCATATTGTGTGCAAATAAGGATAATTTGACTTCTTTCCCCATTTGTATCCCTTTCCTTTTTCTCTTACCCTAGCTAAAATTTTGAGTACTAAGTTAAATGTAAGTGGTGAGAGTTTCCATCATTGTATTGAAGAAATTCATTTTTTTCCCCTCAGAATAGTCACATGCTACAGGTCTGCCTCCTTACCACAGAAGGTGGTGCTGCTGACCAGTATTTACCACTTTGTCCCTAAAACAGAAGTCCATTTCAAATGACCTTTAATTTTTCTCTACATTATTGGGTTTTTTGTATCTTTTATAATACTTAATAGGTAATTGGTTATTTTAAAGGTTTTTGCCTATGATAGTTCTAAATTGTTTTAACTTCTGATAAGGAAAAATTTAATGAATTTAAAAAAATTTGATCTATCTGGCAATTTTTCTAAAACTATAACTATATTTGTATTCTAATTTACGTGTAGATTCTTTGGGCTGCTTGTATATACGATGTTACATGTGTTCTTTCACTTGTCCTTTTTTTTTAGTGAAATGTAGACACAGGCTTAGAGATTCACAAGTTTTTCTGTCTTGATATGTTCTTGATATTACCTTAATATAGCACAATATTATTTGCTTTTTTAAGATCAAAAATTTTAGTGCTTGAATAATTTTAGATTTACATTAAAGATACAAAATAAAGCTCTCTGTAACTCCCAGATTTTCCTGTTGTTAAAATCTTAAAATTATAACGTATGTATCAAAATTCAGACACAAGCATTTGTTCATTGCTGTTCACCAGTTTGTGATCATTATATGAATTTCATCAATTTTTCTTGATTTTTTTTTTTTTTTTTTTTTTTTTTTCTGGCAGAACCAGGGATTGAACTCAGACCCTTGCGCTTGCCAGGGAAGCGCTTATTCCACTGAGCCATCTCTCTGGCCCATCAGTTTTTCTATTAATATCTTTTTTCTGTTCCATGGCCTGATTCTTAATTTAAATGTTGCAATAATCTGAATGTTTGTGTCCTCTGAAAATTAGTGTCTTGAACTTAATCCTCTAATGTGGTGAATGTGATTAGTGCCCTTATGAAAGACTGTGGAGAGCTAATTAGTCCTTTCTTCCATGTGATAACATGGCAAGTAGATGTCATCTGTGAACCAGAAAGTAAGCCTTTACTTGGTAACAAATCTGTCAGTGCCTTGATCTTGGACTTAACCAGGCTCTAGAACTGCTAGCCGTAAATTTTTTGTTGTTTATAAGTCACCTAGTCTGTGGTATTTTGGACTAGGACAAAAATTGATACCAAGAGGTAGAATTGCTACTATAATAAGTACCAAAAAATACAGAGGTAGCTTTGGATTTGAGTAATGGATAGAGGCTGCAAGACCTTTTAGGTATAAACTAGGAAAAGATTGCTATGAACAAGATGTTGCCATTCATTTTGGTGTGTGCTCAGCAAACTGGGAAAACTGTAGAGAAATCCTTAAAGATTTACATAGTAGTTTTGAGAAGAATGTGAGAGATATATGTAGGCAACAATTTCAGAAAGAAATTAGGAATGTGTTGTTAGCAACTGGCGGAGGCAGTTCCTTCTTACAAAGTGTCAAAGAACTTGTCTGAATTACATTCAGGTCCTAATGTTTTATGAAATAGAGAACTTGCAAATTTTGAATTTGAAGAGTTTTCTAACCAAAGCATTAAAGGTACAGTTAGATTTCTTTGATTTTGATTATGAAATGCAAGAAGAGACACAATTTAAAGATGAAATTTTTATTTGAAAAAAATTAAAACATGGAAAATTTTTAGCCTTTCTTAGTATAAAAAATGAGAAATGTCCATTTTGTATCTGTGTATTCAAAGTGGTTAGGATAGATAAATAGTTGCATTCTCTTAATGAATAGAATGATTTGTTCTAATGGTGTTTGTAAATAGGATCTCAAGTCCGCATCTTGTACA